CCAGGACCTGTGGGACGAGGCCGGAAAGGAGCCCCGGGGAGCGTGGGGCACCCAAAAGCCCTGCCCAGGAGTCGTCCCGAGCCGCTGGAAGATCTTAAAGAAAAATCCAATTCCCTCTTCCACGGCCGTGCTTCACAGGCTGCAAAATCCTCAGAGCCCATCGGCGCTGTTAAGGCTCTGCACTGGGGATGGGTCCTGGGAAAAACAAAACCTCTTTAATAGCAGCCCAGGTGGGGCAAGCCCTGATTAGGGAGCAAAAATATCATTAGTCATTCCTGAAAGCGCTCACGGAGGCTTTTTGTCATCTTTGGCTTTACTTTTATTCAAAATATTTTGCTTTTCATTTGGTGCCGGTGTTATTTTTATTTGGCAAGTGGTCTCGATTATTTTATTTGAGTGGCCTTTGTGGCGGGCAATCTCTAAGCAGAGGGTGGCTTGTGGAGCAGGAACTGGACACGAAATAGGGAAGTTTTATTTTTTGTCCCTCTGGTCACTGCTCCCCTTAGTGGAAATAGGACCCACATGGCTTTTAGAATCAGGAATATAACCAGAGACGGTAAGGGCATCAACACGGAGCAGGATTCATCATTGCCCATGATGACCCTTTGATAATTTAAATCATAGAATCACAGAATCGTTTAGGTTGGAAAAGCCCTTTACGATCATCAAGTCCAACCGTTCCCCTAACCCTGCCATCCCACCACTAAACCCTGGCCCTAAGCAAACACAAGCTGAATCCAGAAACGGCCTCTGGTCCACCAGCACCGGAGCAGGATCGGGCCTTCGAAATGCCCCAAGATTTGGGGGAAGTGATAAACGCAGCTCTGGGGGCATCGTGGCCTCGTGCCCTCCCTCGGCTGCAGCGTCCGCGGGGGAGCCGGCTCTGGGAGAGCTGCCCCATCGCCGCTGCTCTTACGCACTTGTCCCGCCTTATTTTATGTTATTTTGTTAAGCCCGTGTTGTTGTTGGCGTACAACTCGAGTGACTTTGAGGAAAGATTTTTTTCTCTTTCCTCCTTACTTGAATGGCTCCTTTGAAAGGCAGAGCCTCTCCGTTTACATCCCCGCTGTCCGGATTGAATCAATCTTGTGGTCAGCTTTGGGAGGGGGGAAAAAAAGAAGAAAAAAGCCTCACAAAGAGGGAAAATTGACAGGTCTGACCATCGGCGTGATTGATAGCGGTTGGAGGAGCGGGTGCGACATCGGGCTGTGCCGGGGCGATGCCGGCGCTCGCTGGGGAAATCCAGCAAAGCCTCTTTTCCCAGAACCCAGGGCAGACAGGCTTGGCGAGGGGTGGCCGTATGAACTTAATAATAGCAGCGTTGTTGGAACATAAAGCATCTGTCAGGAGTTAATATGATTAATTAGAGGTGTCTGTGTCTCTCCCTCTTCCCCCCTCTCCGGGTAGGCAGGAGGGACCTGAAACCCAAACCCAGGGAGGGCGGAGGTGGGTCCGTGCCGCGGCGCTGGCTGGAGCGGGCACCAGCCCCAGCGCCGGGAAGGCTGGTTCCTCCCCGCCAGCCCCGGCTCTGCCGCAAGCACTCGCCGTGCAACCTGCTCTTGGCAAATGAGACGGCTTCAGCCAGGGGTACAGGAAGGGAAACACGAAAACGTCAGACACCCAGAGCCATAAACACGCCGATGGGACACCTCGCCAGTCAGGGAAGGGCTACCGGGCTCTCCATAGGGAATTTGCTCCAGATAAGCCTTGATTTTCAGCAGCGCAGTGGTGACATCACCAAACCCTCATTCCTCCACTTTTGGGTACCCGACCCAGCAGATGGGCTCCGCGTGCGCCGTGCTGGGCGTCGCACCAGGCTGGGCGAGATGGGGTAAAGCTCCAAGGTTTATCCGTGTGCTTCGGCTCCTCATGGAAAGGCGCTGGCTGATCTCAACGGGATGGGGGCTTTCAGCCCCCCCAACTCTGGAGCCCCAGGGGTTTGTGAATGTAATTCAAAGACGTCTGGAAAAGGTAACTAGAACTAGGAAGTTAATTGTCAGGAAGCTTAATTAGTTATAGAGCCGTCTGCGCTGTCACTGGCAAAATTTTACTGGCAAAATTTTAAGACTTTGCAAAGCAAAGAAGGTAGAAAGCCCCCGGAAGAAAGGAGTGTTGCAGGTACACAAGGGAATTGCCACTTTTTGGGGGACCCGGGCTAAGGTCGGCCCCATTCGCTGCGTTGCAGGTGCACTGGACTCACACCCGACGGCTGCGTATTTATTGTTGGTGTGAAGTGATCGGTGACCAAGGGGTCACTACCCCGGAACAGAAAACGCTCTGTGAAGGCCAACCGCTGCTGCTGGTACAACACCGTAACTGCTGGTGACTGCAATACATGCAAAATAAAACAGGATGTACATGCCCTGGGCTGGCCCTTCAGCTTTGGGCGACACTGCTGTCCCACCAGCAACCCCAGCACAGCCCCAGTTTGCACATGGGTTGTCTCTGCGGCCAGCAGAGACATCGAGCTGCCTCTGCAGGGACACGGGTGAGCACCCCCAGGCGGGGGGGTGGCACTGGGGCGAGATGGGGTGCAGGGAGTGCACACTGGGTGCAGGGCACAGGGGCTGAGGGCAGGTTTGGGGGCAGGAGCCATTGCAGCAGGGGTGCCCAGCAGTGCTGAGCAAAGCTGTGCCAGGCTGATCTTACCCAAGCCATGCCATGGCAGCCAAGCCATGCCAGCAGTGCCACGCCATGGTAGGCCATGCTGGGCACGCCATGCTGGCTGAGCCATGCTGTGCCATTCTAGGCTGTGCCGGCAGTGCTGTGCCAGCCGAGCTGTGCCGTGCCATGCCAAGCTGTGCCACGCCATGGCAGACCATGCTGGACACGCCATCCTGGCTGGAAGCTGTGCCGTGCCATGCCGAGCTGTGCCACGCCATGCCGAGCTGTGCCACGCCACGCCATACCAGATGAGCTGTGCCACACCATGCCAAGTCACGCCAGCCATGCCATGCTCTGCCAGCTGAGCCGTGCCAGCTGTGCCACGCCATGACACGCTCTGCCAGCACTGCTGTGCTGTGCCGTGCCATGCCGTGCCATGCTAGCTGTGCCATGCCAGCTGTGCCATGCTGTGCCATGCCATGCCATGCTGTGCTAGCTGTGCCATGCCGTGCCCGCTGTG